AATTAGGATAAAAAGAAATACTTTTTCTGCCAGAAATTGCAACAGAATCTTATCAAATTTTTTAATCATCCTTTTAATTATATTTGCCTAACCTCCTCATTTGTTAATTAATTAGTAAAGCATGATGATTTCTGATGACCAGAAATACTTTTGAGGAAGAGATGCAGTTAATAAACGTTTAAGAACACCATGTCTTAAATTTTTCCCGTCCTTTAGACTTAGCATAAGAGCATGCGCGGTGATGATTCCCCTGCTGGGTGTCACGTGGCTATTTGGTCTTTTATCGCCGTTACACAAAGCTTTCGCTTACATTTTTACTATCCTCAACTCTACTCAGGTGAGTGCTTCATCCTCTTTGTTCATTAATAAAATTATCCATATGGAGTGTCTAGATAATGTATAGAGATAACGTGTTTTCATCAACTGAGTTTATAATGTAGCTCCAGTATTTGTAAATATTACAGGAGAGCATAAAATTAAAAAGAAAATAAACAAATTTTCCGCGTCATTCTCGTAGTTAAAGATTTTATTTACGTCATAGCACTAGCTCTGAGATATTTGACAAAGAAAAAAAATCACAATCGCATATAGTAAGGAAATAAGAGATTAATCTTAAAAATCTTTTTCTTATTTAAGGGTTTCCTGATTTTTTCCCTTCACTGTCTGCGAAACAGCCAGGTAAGTTTAATGTAAGAAGAAAACATGTGGGTAATGAGACTTTCAAACTTGAATTTCTATGTGTTTGTACGTGTGTGTGTTTGGATGTTTTCGTTTGTTTAAGTTGTTTCTCTCTCTGCAGATTAAAGAGCGATTCAACAGAAAAGTCAACACTGTTTTTCCATCTGTTAACAAAGGAAACTCCACAAAGAAGAGCTCACAGGCTAATCTGAGTGATCTAGATTCGCGTGTATTTGTCAGGAATAATTTCAACTGAGAGGAGGGTTGCCAGGGAGACTTCTCGAAATCCGTGAGAACTGCAACACGGGTTCGTCTGCCGTCACTGCATTTAGATAAGGCTATGAAACACGGAAAATATACTTCTATTTCTCAAAATAGCAAAGTTTCGAAATAAAAGACCCTCTGGCCGGTTAAAGCAGTGCGCCTAACCATTATACAAATGCAAGGTGACCAAGGCGTAGAAGCATTCCCGGTTTTTTGCCATCGAAATCATTTGAAATTATTCGAATTTGCTCGACAGGAAACATTGATGAAGCTCTAAGAATTCCCGATGGGAACTTTTATTCAGTCAAGATGTGCTTACTGCACCGTCATTATTCTAAGATCATCTTTGTCTCTTTTTTTCAGAATATTGACTTTAAAATTTTCAGAAACCCGTTAGGGTCTGAAACAGGTTTTTTTTTTTAATGCGAAAACGTTTTCTACTAGCTATTTGTTATTAACCCGTAATTTTGAAGGAAAGATCCAGTCAGAAAACTATTTTGAACTACCATGTGCGTGTTTTAGCATAAGAAATTGTCACTGTTACCATAATATGCACAATTCTTATCCACAAAGTATAGGAATGGTGCTTCGTCATTGTAAATGTAGCAATAAATATTGTCATGAAAATAACAAATGAAGGAGGCTAAAATTTCGAGTAGTTTTTATAAAAAAAGAAAGAAAAACGGCTAATCAAGCAACATATCTTAAATTCTTATCCCCGCTATTCAATGAAATTCTATTTATTGAATGAAATAAAGCATCATTGAAAACACTTGTGCATGAAACAATCAGGCGCGTTTTACCTCTCTGCACCACTTAACTGGTATCAATTCATAATAGGGAAAAAATAATCTCAGATAGATCTGTTACAAGCATTTTAGTCTAATGGCGTAATTCTCTCAAGTCAAAACATTTGGGCCCTAAAAAAATAAATTGACCGTTAACTGGCTAAATAAACAAAAAATACTAGTCAGTAATTAATACTTAGATCAGCGTGAATTCTCAGTTTCCGTCTTCCGCAGTTGATACCTCTAGCCTCGGGCTACATCATTGAGAAAAAAAATCTAGTTTTTGCTTTATCATCATGCATCCCACGTATTTCACGTTGTTATATTAAAAGAGTTGGAAAATCTGTTATGGAATAGTTTCTTGCCAGTTTTATTTGTTTTATTTCAATATTAAACGGCTACAAAAGGCATACTGTGTCTTATTTTCGCGGAAACAACTGACGTCAATCGTTTGCATGACAATCCCTTTCCCGCATAAAATGTTTGCAATTGCAATACACAGCTGTTTCCAGCTCAAAACAACACTTGGTGTGAGACCTATGAAAGATTTCCAAAAGATAACAATCAACGAAGCCTTCTTCAGTGATACAGGCAATGTAAATTTGTGGCGAATCAAATGCTACAGAAAAGTTGCTAAGAGGTAGCTAGATTCAGCTAGAGTGTTTTTATTTCCCCATGAGTCTTTGGATATCATGCGTTGATATTCGCTACACTAGAAGATGTAGTCTGAAATACAGCGTTTACGCAAAACCGTTTACATTTATGAGCAAGAAGTGCAACAAACAAACAAAAAAAATATCGGTGTTTCCAAGGCTTTGATGAAATAAATGTCTCTTACGCGCAAGCAAAAGTACACTTTCTTACAAAACAGCGATAGGAACATCGATGGAGCTCTTTGTTTTGACGATGGCAACTATTTTTTTTTTTCACAAACATTTTAAAACTGTACCGTCATTATTTTTAGCCTATATATTTCCCTAGTTTTCAGATTTTTTCCTGCAAGTTTTAGAAACCCGTTGGTTTTTGACGATCCAAATTAGGCAAACAAAGTTTTTTGACTTACTATGCTAAATTTTTATTGACGCAAAAAATTATATCTATCATTCATAACAATTTGTGGATTATGACATAAACAGGAACGATCTACAGCTTTGCACCACTTAGGCGGCGTAGGCGCTAATATCGATAAAGGGAAAAAAAAACCATCATTGATAGACCCGTTTCCATCGATATCGGATTTATCATTATCGCGAAGCCACTTCTGTTATGCTTCCGCTCTACAAAGACCTAAATCTTTGTAAACTGGCTAAATAAACAAAGTGTAGCAATGGCCATTTATTAATTTTTGTTAGCATGACTACTTACGGAACTTAATATTTTTACCCCGAGGCGACATCATTTAGAAACAAAAATATTAAAACAACTTTCTGCTCTGTCATTACACGTGGCGTGCAACCCTATGGAGAGGTTTCTAAAAGTCAGTAGGATGGAACAGTAGTTTCTCAGAATAATAATTTCATTTTGATCATGTTTCTTTTGCCTAGCTAACTTTAAACGGGTGGTCAAACGGGTGGTTAAAGGGAAAATGCGAGTAAATTTTAGCGGAAAGATATGACGGTTAATGATTTGCATAATAGTCAATTTCCCGCATATGCTTTCAAGAAAGCAGCTGGTTCTAACTGATCTTTCGAAAATGTTTGAGAAGATAATTCTCACAAACAATTCACACTAACAAAAAACATTTTGACAGATCCGCAGCCTCAGCAAATTCGACAAAAGGTTTTCTTTGTTGCAGTTGACAGCTGCTCAACCCATACAACGGAAAAGAAAATGATGATGACCAGAAGCTGCCATTTATGGAGAATTCTCATGTTATCAGTAATTCTCGTGGGTGAGTACGAAAGTTGTTTTCAAGAGATTTATATTCTTTGATATCATAGGGTATACCCGGAGGAGTCGATCCTATGGATTTCCGAATAGTGTTCGCAAATAATAGAAAAGAAAAATAGAGAAAAAAATATGGGTGAAACCACCTGAGAGCGCTAGAACTTAGAGTGGTGTTAGGTTAAACGAGTTTGCCCTTTATCACAGCTGACAACATCGACTTGCATTAGGAAGTCGAGACAATTTATTTTAACGGATGTACTTGAAGTAGCTAATTTGGCAATGTATTCCTAAACCCCAACCTTTAAGTCTAATTCAACTCAGGAGTCTTTCATAAAAATTTGAAGTTTTTACGCAAATACCCAAATAGTGATGGTATATTTTAAGACCAATTTTTCACTTGATATGGCATGCAAATTCTGGAATAACTAAATAAGTAGTTAACGTTTGTGAACATATGAAAATCCTATATGTGAATTACGGTTAAAGAAATTAGTATGAGAACAATCTTCGCAGGTATGAACACTATTTAAGCAGTACTCAATATAAGGCCTGAAAAAAACTGAGGCCTGTACATGATTCGAACCCATGACCTATGCGATACCGGTGTAGTACTTTATCAACGAGGACTCAGCTTTTCAAAACCTCTCATAAGTAGTGGCTGAACAACTACATCTGTAGTCTTCTTTGTAAATGGTTCGGCGTATTTTTTCCATTCCATTTCCAATTTTTATTTTGGTCTTAACTGAATTACAGGAAGATAAGATCAAATGCGGTTTACAACACTGTGCGGGGGACTCTACCAGACTGCTAGTAGCAGTTTATAATCAATAAAGGCGAATCTAACAGATGCCCTCTCCCCCCAATTACTAATAAACAGGCCAGACCACATCACAGTAATCTCTTTAGTGGGTTCTTCAACGTCCCCTGCCTAACCAAATTAACTAATTGATAATTTGGATATATCAACAAAGTTGAAATGCGTATGATGCACGATCCTCGCAGTAGATAGCGCTATTTAAGCAATAGCGCAAATCAGACCTGAAAAAATTCAGGCCTGTACGGGATTCGAACCACTGACCTCTGCGATACTAGTGCAGCGCTCTACCAATTGACCTAACAAGCCAACTGGGAGCAGGCCGTTAAGTTGATTCGTAATAAACACCGTGAAAGTGATAAATTAGTATCATTTAAATAAATGTGATAAANNNGATTACCATTAGAAACATAAACGGTTTGTAAGTGTTAAATCCCCCCTCCCCCATCCCTACATGATAAAAAAAGGTATCGTGATTGTCCTTTTCAAATTCCTTCCAACAATTACAGCTTTCCAACATTAGTTGAAATCATATTTTGATGTAATATTTTGCTTCAACATACAGCTCACATGCAATCATTGTATGGGTCACCGACCTCATTGTCATTTCTATCAGCATCACCAATATTACAATCGTCATCACAAATATCTTCCTCTTCCTCAACGGCGTCGGCATCGTCATCGACACGGTCACCGTCGTCACTATCATCACCATCAGCGTCTTTACCATCTTCGAAATCAATTCCAACAGCATCACCATTCTTATCGATGTTATCATCGTCAACGTCATGGTCATTGCCAGTGATACTGTCATCTTCGTCATCATCATTGTCACCATCATTATCCCTGTCATCATCATCGTCTTCGTCATCTCGAACTTTTACATCTCCGCCTGCGCCACTGTTAACAATAGAGAGGGTGGTGTGTATTTTAATATCTCCAAATCCTTACATGTATTAGTTCCATAGAGTAAGGCGTTCGTTTATGTGTTTTTATTTCCTTCCCGAGGCAAATGAATATGTTTCTAAACTTGGCACGGTCGAACTCAGCAGAGAAAGTTCGTTAAAGGTATACCTAAAAATACATTTGATTTATCAATCATTTAACTAAACTAAGTTTTATAGCATGCGCAGTATCAAAGAAGTGATCATCTTTAATTTAGACAAAAAAGGAAACATTTAAAGCCCAGACTTAAATTCGAGAGCAGAGCGTTTTAATAGCATTATAAGAATCTGGTGCAGACAAACAGTCTTCTTTAAAACGAAAGCAGATCTGTAAGTTGAAGTGCGGAACCATTTTCCTGTTTCTCTTACCAGTACAATGATTTTTCTCCCAATATATACTTGATGAAACGTTCAAGTATACAGCGTTAGAAACACGCACAACGTGTCAATATCCCTTCGGCATAATTGAAATTCTAAATAGAAAATTAAAAATGAAAATGAAAAAAAAGGCAAGAAAACAAACGAAAACAACCAAGTTGATACATTCTGGCATGGTGTAGTTTTTTGTTTTTTGATGTTTTGTTTTAATTGTTGCTTTTTTTAAATTTATTTTTATCAATCACACAAAAAAGATTACAGACAGACATAAACAACCTTTTTTTTTAGCACGATAGTAACAAAAGCTATGCAGCTTATGGGGTCGTGCAAAAATACTAAACCTAAGAAGATAATATATACATGATAAGTTACAATATGAAGCTATCTAAAAATTAAATTGTTTAAAACTATGACGTAACCTAAATATAATGGAAATCTTTATGTATAAAATTTGTGGTTGTTGCAGAGGTCTCTTTGAAAGTCAACTCTTTAACAATATCCATTGAACGGGTTTTCTTCTTCAGGGTTGGATAACTTGAATTAGGAATAGTCTTATCCTTAGAAATTAAAATATTCCAGAATACAGGGCCTCTATAAGCAATATAGTTTTGGCCATAAATAGAGCTGAAACGTGGCACCGCTAAGGAGTCTGACGCTCGTAAAGAGTAACCTGTAGGGGGTTTCGTCATAATATTATCGGATAGCACTAGTGGGAAATTAACATTAAATGCACCTATTTTCGCCACGTTTACCTTAGCCGAACTTCTCAGTACGGAAATCTAATTTTCATTGTGTCGACATCGTTATCAGGTACGCTAAATTAGCATATTTGAAGGTTATGTCATATGAATGCAAAGTATTTCATGTGGTTACAGGAGGCAATGCGTTTGTTCAACGAATTCACCAATCAGTATCAGAACATAACCAAGCCTATCAAAGGCCAACTTGGCAAAGGAGAAGTAACGAAAGGAACAGAAGCTATCTTTAAGGTGGCAGTAGCTTTCGAAAAATTGGTTCTCGATTACAGCAGGTACCACCTAAATGAAAAAAAGCCGTTAAAGAAGATGTATGACCGTAGAATGGGTAAGTTAGAATGTCGTCTTTTCAAATCTGTGATATTTTGTTGATTAGATCAATACTGACCAAACAGGCAACCTCTTGACTGACTAAAATAATAAAGGCTGATAGTTTCGAAAGAAACTGTTTGGGGCTGCGTCGGTGGGAGTAACGAAATAATTTGGATATATCAACAAAGTTGAAATGGTAAATTGGCCACCGTAACGATTACAAAAGCTGACNTGTGCGTATAGATCTGTAAATCTTCTTTCTGCTATAAGGAGATGCAGCGGCTTTCCGATATTTTTTGCCACATGTGTAGAATAGGATTTTTACCACAATTGGGGGCAATGTCGTAATCTGACTAGCCAATTTGCCGTCATCGATATGAGTACAGAGAATCAACAAAGGTAATATTACACTTCTGTAAACCCAACCACTTGGTAATTACCGTATAATAATCTTTAAAACGCATCTTTTTAGACTTTCTTTTCATAAAAGTTTATGTTTTCAAAATTTTTATTTTAATGTTTTCAAATTTTTACTCTATGTACCAAAAGTTTTTATTTCAATTTTTAGCTTTATTTACCTTTTAGATTTAATTACTATGTACATTTGAGTTTTAATTTGCTTTTTAACTTTTTAATAGCACTGTACCGCGCTTTTGATCATATCTGCGTGGAAAAGGCGCTTTATACATTTTTAATCATCATTATTAATCCTTGCTAAGAGGTGACTCTTACAAGGAACACAATAATTATCCTTAATTTGGCACATTGTAGACTATAACTTAGTTTACCAATGACGCAAACTCCCTGTTTCCTCAAAATTCCCTTGAAAGGCACAATTTTTGAAGTATATCATGGTAGCTCTCTCTCAGTATAGCTTCCCAGACAGTGGGTCACAGCCGATAACAACAACTACTAGTCTTAACTGATTATATATACATTAAAAAAAGTATTGTAGAACATCCCAGAAACTTAGAACACAGCTATTCTGGTGGAATTACATCATGATTACTTAACCTAACAGAGAATCGTGGAGCTTTCCAAGCTAGGAATGTCATCATGAAAATTGAATATCCATGTCACCGTGAAAAACCATTCTAGAAATTTCCAGTCACTACTTTTTCCATCCACTACCCATAACAACTTCCATCCGGTCTTCTATTTCTTCCGGCAGTTTTACGTATAAAGATAGGATACCCCAATGATGCGAGTAACTTCCTTCTCGAAGATGAAGAAAGGCAAGCCAGTATTAACATTTCCTCTGCAAACTTTGCCGAGAATGGTAAACCCTATTTAATCTTATTTAAATAGGGTTAAATATTAAATATGGTTAACCCTATTTAATCCGATTTATGTTTCATTCCTCTAATATTTCTACAAAGTCTATGTGTTTTGAAATTGAAATTGTTTTTTTCCTTTATCAGTGGCAAGTAGAAAAGTTGCAAAAAAGGCGGCGTAGTTGAAATATACTAGTAGAGTGTCAAGGCGTATATATAAAGTGTCAAGTATCAGGCAGAATAATAAATGGTTAACGAAGTAGTATACAGTAGAAAATAATAGCTGTTTGTGGATTAGTTCAAATGATTATCTTTGCTCTTAAAGAGACCGTTCATGCTTCGGTTTTCGAAGAAAAAAACCATGTTGGGTTGTATTTTCAAGTAAAGTCCTAACTCATTATGTATGTTTTTGGTTTTCTTTTATTATTATTATTTGTGTTTCTTTTTCCTTTTGGTTTTCCCTTTTTTATGAAGCAATCGAAAAAAAGCCTACTTTTGTGACCAAGACTTTGTCTTGAATAAGTATGAGGTTAAAGGAAAGTCTTTCCATCGTGTGTTTTCTTGTTTGTTTGCTTAGGGTCAGTGGTTATAGGATGTGTGTACAAAGATCTCCATGAATTACTGCTGACTAATCAACCCATCGGCAATGGAACTAACAATTCAAGGTGACTTCAATACATTATATATTTCAGAGTTCTTTCATGCCTATTGTAGAGCGTGTGTTGAGTTACATGCCATGCTGTAAAAACGTCAGCTTTTTTGTTTATGCGAAGGTGTTTACTCTTAAACATGATACCTGTTATCTAGTAACCGCAGAAAAATGAATGACAATTGCCATTTCCCTGTTTTTTGTTTTGTTTTGTTTTTTTTTTGTTTTTGTTTTTTTTTGTTCTTTTCAGACTTTTGTCTATTCTCACTTGAACTTTATTTTCCAAATATGACGAGTTCCTTGGTGAATAGTTTCTACTACATTTAACTATAAAATCGCACGCCGAAGTAAATCTATTTTGATGACCGTTCAATACTGTTGAAACAAATTGGGCCGAACATTTTTATACGTCAAGAAATATCAATGAATAATTTGGTTTTCAAAAACAGATAGCATGCCAGACCAGGTCATTTTAAGAACCCAATTTTCCTTTCAGATATGTGAACACTAGGATAATGACGGCAGATATGGATCCTAAACCTGAAAAATTACAATAGGATGTAATCTTGAAGTTCAGAAACCTTAAGGTAATCAGTTCCGAGAGCACTGAAAGACAACTCCAGCCCTTCTTCGCTGTGTTGAGTTAATTCAATCGAAATACAATACATTTTCAGGTCGTTGAGGCAGAGACGCATTGCATGTTTTGGAGCGGCTTCAGTAAGAGGTAAAAAATATATCCAATATAAACGAATATGATATACACTGATTTTCTCTGAAAATAGTTTCTTCTTCAACGTCCAAAAAATGTACCTAAAAAACTAGGCCCACCCTTACAAAGTACCTTTCAATGCTCTGCTTGTTACAAACCCCAAATGCTTTTCTCACATTACTTTTTTTGCATTTGTCATATTCATTTACTTTTTCAGTCCAGGCGGGTTCACAGATGAGGGTTGTCTTGTAGATTCAACGAGAAGCAACTCAGAAGAAACAGTTTGTAGATGCAACCATTTGACTTACTTTGCAGTCTTAGTTGATTTTGACAGTGGTGGCACAAAGGTATTTTTTTAATTATTGATGTATTTTCGAATGTATTTCCAAGTAGTTTCTCCGTTGGGTCAACTAGTTAATTTTTTTCGTCTCTAATTTCTCATGCAGCTCACCAAGAGGGATGGAACTATCCTGGAGACAATCACTTATGTAGGATTAAGCCTTTCCATCATCGGAATACTTTTGACAATCATCCTGTATTCTTTCCTCACGTAAGTGCTGTTACCAAACAATCAGTTATGACTTTAAAGCTGGTGTCCTAAAACAGGCAGAACGGGCAAAAAAGAATTTAACAACCACTCTTGGCAACTACGATTTAAAAGACTCTGGTGCTTATTGGATTAGATAGTAAGTGACTTCAGTCCGTAAAATATATGCGTTATTGACCAAGCGTGAGGAAGAGACGGTTTGATATTTGCCGAGTTCTTCTTTTTTTTTTTTTTTACTTTTCTATGGACCGAGACGAAGTCGAGGTCCATAAAAACGCTGAAAAGGAAGAAAGGATCTCTTCCTGCTCGGGTAGCCAGTCTTCAAAATATTATAACAAGAGACGAGTACCATATATTATCAGTGGCAATGTAGTTGATCTGTTTTCAATTCCTTTAATTCATAACGGAAATTTACAAGAAATCGTAACTATGAATAGCTATAGTGTACCTTCGAACTTCCCTGCTACCAAATACACTAGGCAATCTGAATATCTAATTGATTTATTCGCATATTTTGGATCGATAGTGTATTCGTTTAATTTCCTAAACTTTTTTGTTTGTTTTTGATTAGTATCATTGATTTGTCTTGCTCTCCTCTTTGCCTTTTTTCTTATTTATTTTTGTTTCCTTTTCAGAGATGCTCGTCAACCTCTTTCACAAATACGTTTAAGTCTTTCTGTGTCCCTTGGAGCTGGACAAATGATCTTTCTCGCCGGGATAAACGCCACAGAAAACGTGGTAAGTTGCTTATTCCTACATTCTCGGACCAAATTGTCATTTTGCATACAAGATTTTTTTTTCACAGCCAGGAGCATGTAATTCTATGTTATTTCCTTCTTTCTTTCCTGCAGGCTGCCTGCATCGCAGCAGCAGCTCTGATGCAGTATTTCCTGATGGCTGCTTTCTGTTGGATGCTGGTGGAGGGAATTTATCTCTACCTGTTTGTTGTAAAGGTTTACAATATTAACACCAAGATGCACATGTATCACGTCATGTCATGGGGTATTTCTGATTATTGACCGCCTTTGTATATGATTCCCCGACATACACTACATTCTTCTTTCTCTCTATTTGTAGGGCTTCCTATCGTCATGGTGGGCATTTCACTGGGCATCGCTGCTGGAAAAGAAGGACTCCAAAGCTACACCAGTGACAAATAGTAAGAAAATCTTTAACTTCTGCCAGGGATTGTTGAGGGTTTCAAAAGGGGTACGGTTTCATTGGCTGGAAATTTTCTTTGATTCCTCATTTTTCTTTCCTTTTCTCAAGTTGCTGGTTGTCTTCGACTAATAAGCTGATCTGGATTTTTGTGACATTTGTGGCGTTTATCGAATCAGTAAGTTTATGATCGATTGATGTCCTATGTTTTCTTTTGATTCGTATATTCGGACTTCTTCTTTGTCTTACACTCGTAAAAAGTTCACAATCATATATGTTATATTGATCCACGTCTATTTTCCGATAAAAAGTTTAAATGCATTTTTGTTTTTTAATTCAGCTCAACATTTTGATACTTGTGCGTGTCATAAGGGAGATTACTACACTTGTAGAACCATTAGGTGAAGACAACTACGGAAAGCAAATAAGGTATATTTTGAAATATGACACATGAAAAAAAAAGCAAACAAACAAACAAGACATAACCACAACAAGAAAAACAAAACAAGCAAATCAAAGTTTTAAAATATATGATCAAGTATAACATGCAAATAAATGTAATGCATTCCTTCAAGTAATGTAATTTTTAAAATGAATGAGTTGCCAGTAAACGGATCCCTGTATTATGCGCAAAGGGTTCTGGGAACGCCCCGGGGCAAACATTGCGAGTTGCTACAAAGAAATATATGGCGAAAACTTGTTTTGACGTACAAAAAAAAAAACATTTTGGAGAGAATTCAGCGCATTTAAACAGCCGTTTTATGAGGAGAGGATAAGGGCAATGTTGATTCGGGGGAGGCGTACGTTTCTGATCGAATTATTGTGAAATATGCGACAAAATGTACCAATAAAGTTCTCTCCATGCGTAAGGTTTGTAATGTTTATAATAATGTGAATCGACATCGCGTAATGGTCTCGAAATATCCCAAAGTAAGGTATAAAAAAGAGGAAATTACTCAGTAAAGAAATTTCATTTTTGAATAAGTGTGAACAGCCTGTTTTTAACATTAGCTCTAGCGTCTTTTATATACGAGTTATGGTTTCCGAAAATTTACCTCCTCAAAGGAGAGAAGTCGCTGTCAGTGGAGATGGAAATTGTTTTTACCGAGCTATCGCTCTCTCAGTGGAGGGACGAAATAACAGATGAGAAACAAAGAAATCTGCATTTTAAGTTGTAGTTTGATAGAGAGAAATCCAAAAGTGTTTGAGCCGCTACGCTTCGCTTCCAATTCCGTGAAGGATCATGTCAAGAAAAGCAAGATCACACGACCTTGGGCTGAGACTGTGGACACTTCAGTTGTACATCGCTCGTCAACGGACCCATTCTCACGTTCTCATCGTCGCAGAAAAAATGGTACAATTTTGAACCTATTTTGAACCGATTTTGAACACTTATTCGTTTTCGTCAATGAAATCAAAGAAGTGCAGGTGTCCAATTACTTTAATGTATCACGATGATTATGCTTAAACAAACCATTTTAGTCTCCTTCTGCAACTGTGGGACAATACAAGAACAAAAACTGGCACGAGATGAGACACCTTTTGGTTACTGGTCAAAAAATGAAATATATTTATGCTAGACAAAAAACTTTAGAAAATTATCCTTTTACTGATGTATCACTCACTGTTAAAAATTTCATCGATCAAGAAAAATTTTAAGAGAACCATGTCCAAAATTCTACTTCTCAAAAGTCAGTGAAAAACAGCACTTGTTCATTTGATCTTGAGGGGCTTGTTCTTTTCATTAGTAGCAGTTATTCCTGGATAGGAGCTAGTTTACATGGTATTAGATGTCATTGTTCTGACCCTTCAGTAGTAGAGATAAAATATCCATTTAAAGNAAATAAAATTTATGACGATGATGATGATGATCCATGTATTGTAAATTCTGGACACTTGAGATGAATTAATGCCACAAATGTCACCTAGGAATTTGACATCAAAACCTTTTCTTGTCCTAACAAACCTTCTTACTCGTTGTAACCTTGAATTGAACACGATTAATAGCTCTGGCCCACAACAAAAACATCTTTCTTATTCTTGGGGGGAGTGGAATCTTAATATCCGAACGTGAGGAAGAATCTTTTGCCATTCTGGGTACCTTCGATCGTTGCCACAACCTCACACAGCACAATGATCGCTACGAGGCTTATTTCCTATAATATTTGCGTTTACGAGCTTACAAATAAACCATAAGTAGACTGTACACACTTATTTACGAATGAAATTTCTTTATTGGGTAATTTCCTCTGCTTTGTACCTAACTTTGGAATATTTCGAGATTAGTAGATGTCGATTTCAGAATAAACCTTGCGCAAGGAGAGAATTTTAATGGTACGTCTTATCTCATACTGCATGGTTATTTCAACAAAAACTTACACTTCCCCTGTATCAATATCGCTCTCATCCTTTTCTTATAAAACGGCTGCAAAAAGGCGCTGAATTCCCTCCAAAATGTTATTTTTTTGTACAGAACAGGTTGCCGCCATATATTTCTTCGTGGAAAATTGCAATGTTTGCCCGGGGCGATCCCAGATCCCTTTGGGCATAATAGAGGATCCGGTTATTAGCAACTCATTCATTGCGTTCTCATTTTTCCAAATTTAAATGAGTTTTCCAATTTAGTTCTCCGGCTTCTTCTCGTGGATCATTGAGTTTCGTGGAAAAAAAAATCCACTGTTTCCCACAGGGTCGGTCTTAATTGCTTGTTATCACCTTGGA